AGGGAAAGCGGGATGCCACAGTGCATTGAGCTCCTGTGTTCTTTAGTGGGCAACTTTTAGAATGAGCTAGTGGGAAGTTGTCCTATGGTGATAACCAGCTGTGAGAATAACGTTTGAAATGTTTGTGAATCCTTCAGAGAAAAATAAATTTTTACTTGGCCTATTTCAGCTTGCATATCATAATCAGTAGGTCAATTTGTTTTTTTTTTTTTAAATTTATTTATTTATTTATTTGAGAGAGAGAGAGAGAGAGAGAGAGAGAGAGAGGCCAACTCAGCCCACCAGGGGGCAGGGCCGGCTGGCATGTGGTGCTGGGGGATTGAACCGCGGTCTCTGATGCTTTTTGCTAAGCTTGTTCTAAGTAGGTGCTTTAGACCACTGAGCCATCTCTCCAGCCCCCATATATCCATTTTATTTCACACACATTTACAAGGAAGACTTCGGGAAGAGATGAGCTCTGAGATGCACTACATTCACATAGAAGGTGAAGTAGTGTGCAGAATACAAGCAGGTGGGGCTAATCCATGCTTCCATCCTGAAACCATGCCCTGCTAAATTTCCTTTTCTTTCCCAATCATACTGGATATCACTGGAGAATACTCCTGCTTAAAAACCTAATAAACAGCACTATTTTTTTCTCAGGAAGAAAACTAATTTCACTATGTAATTAGTGAAAGAAATCAAAGAAATGAGCTTAAAAAATGCAATAGGCTTGATACCATCCTCCTTGCCAGCAAGCTTTTATGGAATATATTTAACTTACATTGATAAAGGAGAGAAATGTTTAAGTGACAGGCTTCAGATGTTGCTGCTGTGGCTCCTACCAAAGGCTTTTGCACAGCTCCCTCTCATGAATAAGTTCAGTGGAGCAGAGAATGGCCCTCTTGGACCAATTCCACCTTGTGCTTCTTTTTGATGCAGCCATAATAGGGGACCAGAGCTGAGATTTTCCCTTCAAATTTAAAGCAAGTCATCTACTTCAGAGGGGGTTGCAAATGGAGCAGGGATTACTGACTTTCTAGACATATTCCCTGGGTTTGCGGGAGCATTCCTTTCAATAAATGGTATCTAATTCGTTGACAGGCCCTGAATTCTCAATTATTCAAAGGATTTTTCATGTGAATCCAGTTCATGTGAAGGTTTCTTCCCTCTTGATTTTATAGCATAAGGAAATAAGCAGAGGCTGTTTTTCTTTTTCTTTTTCTTTTCCATAAACTAAAAATCTTTATGGCCAAGTGAAATTTGGAAAAAAAAATCCAGTTCATTTCTCAGACATTTGTAGATATTTGTAAATTAGAATGAGGTTTACATAGTTTAGCACAAAGCAAGAATAATGGACGACTGTGTCATATGTTCTATGAGATAAAAACTATGTAATAATCAGAAAAACAGACCAAAATTTAAATTGTCCCATTCAATGCTTTCTTTTATGAACTCATGCATAAATCAGCAACATTCACTTTCTTCTCATACAATAATATCATAGCCACATTTGCACTAAATCATAATCCCTACTGTCTATAATCACATTTTCAAAGAACTTGTAAGAAATTATATTAGTTTTTTAAGCTCAACACACTTACGTTTGTCTTGCTCTGTTTTGCCTCCTTCTAGGAAAAGAAGGAAAAATAACAAGGAAGATATGTATTTCATGCTTCCCATTTTCCACTTTTTCTTCATTGGGAGCACTGTGAAATGCAATTCAGAACCTCCAAGGTGTAGTGCACTCAAACTGTTGAGAAGAAAACAGAAACAAAGACTTAAAACAAATTCCCTGGATCTCATAGAGATCACTGATGCTTAGGCTTTCAACTTGCTAGGAAAAAAAATGCTGCAGAATTTACATAAGTGCAAGCATTGTTTGCTTGCTGAAGAAAAAAGACTGGTCTCTCTTGTCTTGCAAAGATTGTGGGAGCAAATTCAAGTGAAAGAACATGCATTCCTATCTAAAACCAAAGCTAAATTCTTACAAGCAAGTCATAAGAAAATAAAAATAAATTTTGAAATCTCTTTTCAAAGGGAATTGATTTTCTCAAGAGATTTGAGGGGAGGAGAGAAGAGAGACTGGTGTTTGCAAAAGTGCTATTTTGGCAAACAAGGTAAAAACTATAAGCACAATCACAAGCAATTCCTGCAATGAAAGTGAAATAATCTTAGCTTTAAGACTACTCTTGTAATTAATCCTTCACGAAATAAGTGCAAATTGATTACTGTTTTATCTGTTCTTCCATGAGAAATATAAGGATGTTCTGTTTAGATAATTTTGTTTGAAAAAATCCAGACATAATTAGCAAAAGGATGCAATTCAACACCTGAGAAGTTTTATTGCTTAGAATGGCTGGGACATATTTCCCTTCCATAAAGTCCTTTCTGAAATGGGAATTTTAAATTGGCAATTTTAAGGGAAGTTCGGCAAATTTAAACAGAACTTGTTCACCTTGCACCATTATCCAAAAGACCACTGAAGCAAATATAATTCTTTAAAAGATGAGATTGTCATTTCCATTCTAAGGCATAGAAATCTAAAGCCTTTTGAACGTTGGAACTCAGAAAGTTTGCTGTAGGTCATATTTAATCATGAGTCATTTCCATAGAGTTTAGAGTTTGCAAGCCTCTTGAAATAGGAGGTTGGGAAGAAAAGTAATTAGAAACACAAAATTCTACTTAGGGTTAACCTTGGATAATAATTGGACTCAAAGGTCTTTTTCAGTAGTCCAATCTAAATATAGAGCATAAAGATTGCAAAGGAATGATCACTTTGGAGAACTTAATTTCTTTTGGCTCTGACATAGATGCCACATTTCTTACTGTATATGCTATGAAATTATTGGGAAAATTCAAAGTCTATTGTTTCAAATTATGAATGTACAATCAAGGACAAACTGATCATAGAGAATAATTTGTGCTAATAAGCAGGATTTATAGCGCCCATCTGCCTTCTTTCTTTACTCCATCTCTGATCCTTATGAAAGGACTTAATTCTCCTAGACAAATCTTCCTAGCCTTCCAAAGATCTCAGTTCTGGTGTCCTGGTCTCCCCTCTGAGTTTGCGATCTACTTTCAATCACTCAGAACATTTCCATGCCCTTGGAGGTAATGGTTCCATTGAAGCAAGGCATTTTTAGTACCTATTTAACACAGCTGCCTACCTCTATTAGTCTCTTTCTAAGCCTACTGAAATAAGTCTATCTCCCAAGCCTATAAAAGAGACAGAATTTTGGCCATTGAAACTCAACTTATCACAATCATACATAGTTCTCAGAGGGAGTTTCTGAACCTGTGGCTTTTGAGTCTCTACCCAGGCAAGAACTAAAGGGTTGTTTTTCTTATACAATGGTCGGGCGATTCAGTGAACAGTAGCATTGCTTCATAACTCAAACTGGCAAGAAAATGGTCCTTAGAATTCTCTGCTTTTCTTGGGTCCCAACTAATGTTATGAGCAAATAGAAAAGTTGGTGACTAGAGAGCAATTAATCTCTTTTGGCATTCCTGTCATTTGTGTGGCCTCCCAGGCAGGGATGGAGAACATCAGAAAAGGAATTGCTTCATAAATATTCACTTTTGATTTATAAGATATTGAAGTCCTGCCTTTATTATATTCTGTGTAGAAACATGAAATGAAAAGAGTTCCTTACTGAGATCTCCCCATTGCTAGATTTCTCTTTATCCCCTTAAACTTTTTTCTATTTTGGGGGACAGAGACCTGAAGACATTTGTTGGGAATGAAGCAGTGAACAAGCAAATATTGCTCAGCAAACATCGGACTCATTCTCGCAAAGAATCAAACTGTCTTTAATTTTTCAAATTATACTTTGACCCAATTCACTGGAGTTATTTCTGCATTAACTCTCTGTCTGCTTCACACAGGCTATTGTGTCATGGAACTTGCACTGGCTCTTTTACAGGTTACTTGTAAATGTAGCCATTGACATGTTTTGGTAGGATGCAAGAACCAATAAGAAAGCAACAGAGCAAACAAAACTTCACAACCACCACTGCAGATGAGAGTGGGAAAGGAGGGTGGTAAGGGTTTAAGAAGAGAACAAGAAATGGGTCAGACAAAAAGGGAAAGGCACAGTATGAAGGCCCCTCCAGGAAACAAACATTAGCAAACATATGTAGTTAAGCAATTATCAACTGCTTCTTGCCCTGGTTATAGATACAAGGCAGTGGAGGCCATCAAGTGACAGAAGCTCACACTCAGAACAGCATTGCAAAGGAATAGGAAGGGACAAACACATGTCAGCCAGCTCTTCATATCCCAGTGTCTCTTTAATCCTCCAGACAGGCTTGAATGACCTTGTAATCTCACACTCACTATCATCTATGGGACAGACCCTAGGGTAGCAATTTTCTTTCTGAGAAACAGTAAGAAAGGCATTGGAGCCTCAAGCTTTTGTTCCTCAGTTGAAATCCCCTCTCCACACTACCACCAAGTAAGAAAAGCTCATTTAATTCTTGTTGGGTTGCCACTGAAAAAACTGGCACTTTTGGCCCAGGGTATCCTTTGTTGGTGGCAATGACTTCACTGCTGGTTATGATTGACGAACAATGCCTTGAATTTGCCTTGCAAAACACTTGTCCATCTATCATTTCATTTGATTTCACACAACTCCTTCAAAATGGGCCCCAGTGGCTGGGGGGTGGTTCTCAAATGAGTTTAGTTATTAGCAGGGCTGAGAGGGACTGGAAGGCTGGTTTTCTAGGCTCTGTGTTCTGGCAATATCACTTTGCCTCCTGAGTCTAGTGCTTCAAACTCTGACCCCAGTAGTCTGGGCCAGAAAATGAGAGAGATGCCCAGAAAATGGCCCTTTGCCCATCCACTCTTTCTTTAACTTTAGGAGGAATTAATCAGCCACTGGTCCAGGGGAATTCAGTAAATGAGAAAACAGACTCTTGGACACTTGTATTAATTAAGGGTACTGCAAAACCCACTAGGTATCTGCAGGGAGTATCTGAGTGGCCCCTGGAAGCTTCAAAGATCACTTAGAAATGTAGGCCAAGCAGAGAATGGCGAGTTATGAGTGCGAATTCACAGATCCCCAACCCACTTCAGATCTGTGCCTTGCGCCTCACCTGTATTTCAGTCGCTGGCAGCTCGACCATAAAATGAATTGGGGTAGCAGATCTAAGAGTTCAAAGTGCCCCAGGGGCACTTTCAGAGGCTGCTACAGCCCACAGAAGGCACACCACCTGTGCTAGGGCTTGAAAGGAAGGTGAAGGAGGCTAGCGCCCATACTGTTCACTGACCTGGGTGCTGGTCTCCTTCCTCTGTCACTCGTGCGCACGTTCTAGGCTCCCGGGTGCTCCTCAGAGGTCTGGGGTTCGCAGGTTGTGGCAGTGAGCTAGAGTGCTCACGAGGTGGGAGGGGGCGGGGGTGCTCAAAAGTGGGAGGGAGGAAAAAACATCACCGCCCTCACACCACGAGGGAGCAGCGGCTGGCCGGGCTGCAGGGGCAGAGCTAAGGCGCGGGCGCAGCGGCCCGGGGCCACCTGCCCACCCGCCTGCCCACTCCCCACTTGGCCCGGGAGGCTGGCCGCCTGGCGGGGGCGGGAAGTCCACAAGCACGCAGCAGTTCAGGCATTTACCCCTTCTCCGTTTGGGCAGCACAGCTTTATTTCTGCTCCTCCTGCCAGAAAGTTAAAGAACTGGGAGAAAGTGTGAGACTCAGCCGCAGACTTTCCCATCACGCAGCGCCCCACCACACCGCTCCCCCCCTCCTTTGGCTGGGAGAGCGATGGGGTCTTAAAGGGACCGCACATCTCTTCCAGTCCCTCCTCTCCTCTGCACTGGATGCACCTAGAAGCTCCCCAGCACTTGGGCACTCCCTGAAAACCTTGGCTACTGTCCTACAGCTATGCGTGGAAGTCCAGCACTTTCTCTCTTGTTGGCACAATGACCCTTCCTTGTGTGCCTGCAGATTGAGCTGGCCTGGTAAAATATGTCCTAGCATGTCATTTATTATTTTGAACATTTCCCATGATCCTCACTGTGGCAAAGGAGAAAGGTTTTCTGTCCTCCAAGATGGGTTTGTGGAGATTTAGATTATCTACATTCCATCCCAAAGAGAACTCCAACTCACGAGGTTTGACGAAAACTTGGTGTGGCCCAGCTCAGCCAGCCACTGCTTTATCAGATTCTAAAGTGGCCCAAGGGCCAGTTCTTCAAATCACACAAGCACTGCACATGCCTTGGTGACCTGGAGACAAGCTATTACAAACTTGTGTTTTTTGAATGACCTTTAGTTACAAAAAAATTGTCACAGTCATGTAGGACCCATGAGAACATTGCTTTGATCACATCCTTTTTATCTTGTAGGCCCCTGAATTTGCAAGAGAGCTACTGGGGTTTTTCTCCATGAACTGGAAAATATCAATATTTTGCATAGCACTTTATGGTTTACAGTGTACTTTCATATGCAATATATCAATACCAGTTTTTTTTAAACTCTCACAACCAACTGAAGTATTAGTGACTTCAAGTATGAGTTCCTAGAGAATCATTCAGCTTTCAACTTTTATTTCACAGAGCAGGAAGCTGATGTAGAGGATGTTGACATACCCAAGCTCACAAAGCTAGTCAGTGACAAGTTTGAGATGCCAATTAAGAATTTTTGACTTTTGACTCATTATTGTCTGATTGTGATTTCCAGTCCATAGATGAAAAAAATTAATATCTTGGGGAAATTTTAGCTTGTCAAAAACTTTCACATCAAGAGTAGATAATAAAGGAAATTAAAAAAAAAAAACTAACCTTTTTACTCTTCATAGAAGCGGTAATATCTAACCAGCCCTTGTACTGCTGGAGATGTTTCTTTCACTGCTAACAAGGGAAAAACCTGCCTTTTCTGATATGTTGTCTTCAAAACCCAAAATACCTAACTTAATACTCTGCTTAATTTAAACATAAAATAAGTATATGTATTTAATTTGTGTTATCATATCTATTTTTTTGGACTTGTGAATTTGTGACCATATAAATGTTATTCCATTTAATGTGCTAATGTTTTAGCTCACTAAACTGAACTCTGCAGGAGAAGGGTAGGTTGTAAAATATGTTTTGTGTATCCATCCCCCAGTCCTTGGCATCACTTCCAAAGTGCCCATGGAGTATTCTGCAAAAGTGGTTTCAAAGCAGCCTGGGCCAAACCTGAATCCTAGCAATAAAATCAATAGATTTATAGGAAAGGGGGACAAAGCAAAGATGGGGGAAGTGAAGTAAAAATGATTAAGATGTGATATGTATATGTACCAATTCTCCAAAATGAATATAGTCTTTTTGTATTACAAACATGTACTACTAATAAAAATAATAAAGTAAATAGATTCATGGGAGCTTAAAGCCCATACATTTGGCTACGAACATTCACTCTCATTGATTAATGTAGTATTAAGAACACTGCATAATAAGGCATCACAGTATCTAATGACTTAAAACAAATTATTTTTGGCAATTACTACTATTGGATTAGTTCAACTGAACCTATTCAGGAACATATTTACAGGTAGCCATGCACAGGGCCACTCGATTCTTTGAAAAGCTGTTCATTATTGGAAATGTTGCAGTTCCTATATTAATTTCTATTCTGATTTATGAATTGGAGCTTGAATTTTCATGAATTCTAACTTAGATACCCTGCCAGATCTGACACAAACTGAACCAGTGATTATCTTCATGTCTTTTCCATATAGTGTTTGTGGACAGTATATCATGTCTGCATCTTGTACAGTGAATAACCACTAAGACAACAATATGCAATGTATTAGTTATTGACACTGTGCTAGTAATTGGTTTTGAAACTGTCTCATTGCTATTTGTTTCTCAATAAAATTATTTTAAAAATATATTTATGATATGGAAAGGTGAATAAAAATAAAATCATAATGACTTTTAAAAGCTTTTCATTGTGAAATAATTGTAGATTCTCATGCAGTATTGAGACATAATTCTGAAGGATTCTGAATGTGCTGCATCAAGGTCTGCACTATAGTCACATCATGCATTTCTATAGTAGGATATCAGAGCCAGTAAGTTGACATTGTTCCAACTTTTTTTTATCATATTCTGCCTTCAGCAGTTTACATACTCTCTGTTATAGTTCTATGCAGTTTTATTATATGGGTAGGTTCCCATGACCACCATTACCATATTTAAGATGCAGAACAGTGCCAATACCAAAAAGATTTTCAGCATTACTGCATCACACCTATCATCTTGGCTCCCTCCCTTGCCCCTTGACAAGGACTAAATTCTCTCTCTCATAACTTTTTCGTTTAAGAATGTTATGCAACATCATACATTGCGTCAACTGAGAATGGCTTTGTCTTCCACTCCTCGAAGACCTGTTCAAGTTGTTTCAAGTATGTGTACTTTGCTTCTTTTTTAAGGAGTAATATTTCCTAACATGGTATGTCACAGTTTGTGTACATATTTATCTATTGAAGGGTTGTTTTTTTTTGGCTTACAAATGACACTGCTATGAGTAATTGTCTATAGGTTTTTGCATAAATATACATCTTCATATATCTGGGATAAATACCCAACAACACAGCTTTGGATAATATAGTAAATGAATATTTAGGGTTTTTTAGAACTGTTGTAATATTGTAGGGAAGCTGTACTATCTTATACTCCATCAGTAATGTATAAGAGACTCAGGCAAGATCTATGTTCTTGCCAACATTTGTTGTCATTTTTATATTAGTCATTGTAGTAGGCATATACTGATATATAATTTTCATTTTAATTTGCATTTCCCTGATATCTCATGATATTTACTGTCTTTTATGTGTTTATTTGACACCTGTATATTCTTCCAAATGTATATAGCTTGTCTATTCATTTTCTTCTTACAGACTTTTTATAACAAATATTATTAATTTTACTTAAGTTCTATTTATCGAAATTTCCTTTTTTGGGTCATGGTTTGGTGTTAAGAACTTTTTGCCTATCTCTAGAACTCAAAATGTTTCTCCTTTATTGTTATTATAAAAGTGTAATAGTTTTAAATTTTACATGAAATCTATGATGTATTTAGAATTCATTCTCACATAAAGTATATAGCTTTCACCTTTTGCTCACAAATGTCCAAATGTGCCATTATCATTTGTGGCAAAATCTGTATTTCCTCCACTGAATTGCTTTTAAATTGGTCTATTTCTAGTTTCTGGGTTTATTCTGTTAACTTGTGTGTCTGTCATACTACCAATATCACCCAGCCTTGATTATTACAGAAATAAGTTGGTTTTAATATCAAATCTAGTGGTTCCTTCCAAAATAATTTTAGCTAAATTAAATACTTCACACCTTTCCATGTAAACTTTATAATAAACTTGTCTGTATCCTTAAAATATTTGCTAGGATTTGGATAGGAATTGCATTAAATCTACAGGTCAATTTGGGGAGAATTGATAATTGTAATGGTTGAGTGTTCTGAACTATGAACACAGTAAATCTTTCCATTTATTTAGGTCTCCTTAGGTTTCATGCATCAGTGTTTTATAGTTTTCAACATCAAACTCTTATACACATTTTATGAGAGTTGGTCTTACATATTTCATTTTCTTTGGAGCAATTGTAAATGTCATTGCATTTTAAATTCAGTTTTCACATGTTTCTTTATGTTATATTCAAATGCAATTGGTTGTTGTATGACAATTCATAAAATGCGTTTCAGAACTCGTACTAATTTTTATTTTTATTTATTTATTTATTTATTTATTTATTTTTGACGGAACTGGGGATTGAACTCATGACCTTGCACTTGCCAGACAAGTGCTTAATCTACTGTGCTATGTCCCCGTCCCCTAATACTCATTTTTAAATATGCAAATGGATGTATTGCAGGATGATTAATACTGAACAATATTCTAATGACACAAATATTAACTTTGTTTGGTGCTGGGGATTCACTGCAGAGCCTTGCTTATATTAGACCAGAGATCTACCACTGAGCTACGATCTCAATTCTTTTCTATTTTGTGACAGAACTACTTAAATCATCCAGGCTGGCCTATGCCATTCTTCTGCCACATCCTCCTCTGCAGTAGGTAGAACTATAGGTATTCTCCACTATGCCCAGCAAATTTTACCTTTTTAAATTTGTCTTATCCCACTAGAACTTGACAGGGTCAGGTTATTGAATTAACTTTATTTTATTTTATTTTATTTTGAGATTCTTTAGTTTGTGACTTTTTTATTTTGAATTAACTTTAAAAAACCTGGGGACTCATAAAGATTAACAAGAGTATTACAGTATAGGTTTACTTAATTTTTTTCTGTTTCTCTTTTAAGTTTTTATATCATGTGTTTGTGATACTAATTATTGCATTCATCTTGGGGAGTTGGCACATAAAATTATTGCATCTTGGTCATTTTTACTTCCCCTTCTCCTATGCAGCTTCTTATCTCCTCCTACCCAGTATCCTTCACAGCTCCACAAATTCTACCTCCTTGCTTTTGTTTCTTTAAACTTCAGACCAACATAGTTTGTATTAATCAGACACTTCATTGACTATGCAGATGTTGACAATTTATTCTATGAATATTTTAGGACCAGTAACATATATTTCATTGAGACATTTTGTTACTTGTATGTATGCTCATTTATTACTGAAAGTTTTTCTCTATCTTGTATTTTATTTCTGCTAGCTATTTCGAGAAAGGACTAGAAAACAAAA